AAAGTGTTTTCCAGTCCCCCTCAATTCCACCGAAATCTTTGAGGGCATCTCTAACCCTTACTCAAATATAGACTCAAATTTAAATTTGAGTAAAAAAGCTCAAAAAATCTGCTCTAACCCGTGATTCAAACTTATACAAAATCAAAGAAAAAAAATTTTGGACTCAAATGGAGAGAGACCAAACTAAAACTCTACATTAGATTCTAACGGATATTTTTTCTTTCCACAAAAGCCCTCTTTGCCAAGACGTTCTCTGCCACTTAAACGTTGCTACAAGCCGGGAAGAATGATGGTCTCAAGGTAATCTGCTACCCTCTTCATCTTCTATTTTCTCCCTTTTCATCATCGACTATCCCAACTTTTTTTTTGTATAAACCCTAACTCTACCCATCGTTGCTGCGTGAATCCCTGTAGATATGAAGCCTTAATCCAACAATTTGCTGCGTGAATCCCCTGGCTCTTTGCTCCGATTGCAATACATTCGCCGAATGTGTGAAAGACCAAGGTATTTATCATCTTCTCTCTCTATATATGTTTTCTCTAAAAATCTTGTCCAATGATATGTTTGGACTTCTGGTTATTCATCATAAGTTACATTTTTTACGTTGAATAATTGAATTGTGTCATCATGGTATGAAATTATAGTGTCAAGCTCTGAATATTACATTGTGTTTGTATATTTGTTAATATTTTTCAGGAAAAATAGAGATTTTTGATAGTTGAATGTTAAGAGTTCCCATTTTTTATCAAGTGAGATGGTTTTTTTAATGGGATTATTAAGACTTTTGATTAAAGTGGTATATGCTTTATATGTGAGATAGTATTGATTGGAGTAGTTTGGCAATTGCTATTCTTTATAATGAAATCTTGGAAAATTTGTATGGAATTTTGGAAAATCTACTTGCAACTGGTATAAGGAAATCTATTTTCTTCTTATTTTTCGTTTACAGTACACAAGTTTAATATTTTAGTCAAATTAGTCAGATTAGTGGGCAACACAACAAGCTGTCATGTATCAATATTCAACCAAATATTCAAAATAAGTTCAGTATATTTGGTAGACACAAACATATCTTTTTCTTTTTTTGCTTGGTACTTTGAAACATATCTACATGCATTATTGGATGACATTTGATTGTGATTTGCAAATTCAGCCTTTTGATAGTTACTAATTTAATATTTTAGTTGCAGACCTTTATGTAGATCCTCAGTTATTATATAAAGTGCACTATTCTGCTTGTGGTGATTCATTTTGGAAGTAAAACGACTCATACAATGGATGATCAAGAAATGTTTAAAAATTCTCCATGCTTAGAGGAATCTCATGGAATAGAAATCATTTCTGAAAGTAGTCGTTCTCGTGGTAAAGCCTTTAGTATGTTAGAAGATGAAGCGCTCTGTCGAGCATGGTTAGCCGTCTCCCAAGATCCAATTTTTAGAAATAGCCAAACCAAAGCAATGTTTTGGGATCGTGTTCATGCCTATTTCTCTTCCCAACCAACTGTTCAAACAAATAGATCAAACATTTCTTTAGCTTACCGCTGGGCTTTGATTCAAAAGGTAGTGAATAAATTTTTTGGTTTTCTAGAGCAAGTTCAAATGAGGCAACAAAGTGGGATGTTTGAAGTAGACAAGGTAATTTTTTCAAACTAAAGTTATTTACGATTTTATTGTTTAATATTTGATTTATTTATTTTTTCCAGCTTACTGAAGCTAAACGCATGTATCATTCAATTCAAAAAAAACACTTCACATTTTAGATATGTTGGAAAATATTGCGCCATAGTTGTAAGTGGTATGAACTTAGAACGAATTTCAAGAGACCTACGGTGCATACTTCATCGCCTTCAATTTCTTCAACTCGTACTACCCCATTATCTCTTGACTCTGATATAGAAACACAACCTTCAAAAGAGAGACCAAAACGACCAAATGGTAGTAAGGCTACAAAAGAATCACAAAGGAAGAAGATGACTCATGATGGTAGGCTTGATGATATAGCAACCAATCAAACTAAAATTATTGAAGTGTTGGCTAGTTTGTCTTCTCGGCTATTGAACGAGATTAGCAAAAGGCAGCAGATGGTGAGAGGAAGGCTAAGTGTAGGGAGGCCCAACTACAAATGTTAGCAATGATGAATGACATAGAATAGAGAAATGAGGATCATAAGATCATGTCAATGGATATGACAAATTTAACTACTATGCAAAAATCCTACTATGAAGATCTTCAAAGACAAGTCATGCTCGAAATAGAGGGAATGAGTTTTAAATCATGGCTTGGAGTTGGTTATTTTTGTTTAAATCATGTCGATGGACATGTTATTTTTGTTTATTGCCACATGTTTATGTTGGACACTATAAAAGATTCTAAACTATGAAGACTTTTGTTTGTTGCTTTTAGATTGTGTTTGTCTTGTGGTTGAAACTTATCACTGTTTGTATTTTTGAAGTGAATGTTAAAGAGAAATAACACTAGACATCCATGTTACAAGAGAAATAAAACTAGAAATATCCATATATTGATAGTACTTGCAATGACCGACAATAAGCTGCTAAAGGAAAAACATATATGCTTAATGACTAAACATCATCTTCACTTTGTCAAAAGCTCAAATTCACATCTCTTCGTGATGTTGCCATAGATTCTCAATCAAGTAATTTCGAAGGATATGGTAAGCATTTTTATCTCTAATTCTTGCATGACGGGCTATGGATGAGTTATGCATTGATGTTTCATATTCAAAATTGCCATATTCATCTCGCTTGTTTTCAACAATCATATTGTGTAAAATAATACACGTCCTCATGATATTCCTAAGTGTTTCAGGATTCCAAACCGTGCTGGCCCATGTACTATTGCAAATCAAGGTTGGAGAACCCCAAATGCTCGTTCCACATCTTTTATCGTTGATTTCTGCATCATACGAAAATGTTGTTTTTTGGATCCCTGTGGAGAAGAAATGGTCTGAACCAATGTCGTCCATGGAGGATATATACCATCAGCAAGATAATAACCCACGTTGTAGGTATGCCCATTAATGGAGTAATTAGCGGGAGGAGCTTGCCCTTGGACAAGTTCAGAAAAGAGAGGAGAGCGATCTAAGACATTTACATCGTTGTGAGATCTGGCATTCCAAAAAAGGCATGTCAAATCCGCAAGTCACAAGATGCTACGACTTCCAAAATTATAGTAGGTTTTTTCATATGATCGCAATACTAGCCTTGTCAAGCGGTTGGACAATTTTTCCATTTCCAATGCATACAATCTAAACTTCCCAACATTCTCGGAAACCCGCGAGCCTCTCCAACAAGAAGTAGCCTAGCAATATCATCTCCCTTTAGAGATCTGAGAACTCATCCTCAAAAATTTTAATAATTAATCGACAAAAATGTTTAAAACTTAATATTGCGGTACTTTCTCCAATTCGTACGTAATCATCCATAGCATCCGCCGACATTTCATAGGCGAGCATTCTAATTGATGAAGTCATTTTTGAAGGGAGGACAATCCAACAACATGACAAGCATATATTTTTTGAACAAAAAAAGGATCATGTGTTTCAATAGCATTGAGAATATGCATAAACAACTCACGTGTCATTCGAAAGCGCCTTCGAAACGTTGAAGGAGGGTAAACAGGATTTTCAGCAAAGTAATCGGTGAATAATTGATCATGACCCTTTTGCCTATCATGAAAAATGAATTTTCGGTGTAGAATAGAACCATCATGTTTGTTGGGTTGTTCTGACTCTTCTGTCAACATTTCTACCATTGTGGCATTATTTGTCTCATAAAGAGCTATTTCATTATCATCATCATACGAAGAAGATGAAGATGAAGATGAAAACGAATTTAGCAAAATATATTTTAAAGGAGTCATTCCTTTGAGAGCAAAATTGGTTTTCAAGAAACTAATGGGTGTAAAATATTCTTGTGTATCTTTTGCTAAATTCTTGTCATGATTTGGTGGGAAAAGGATATGGATGTGTATATTCTTGTGTACACAGTGGTAAAATATTTTGTGTACACATCCGTGTATGTAAAATAAAGAGGGATAAATTTTGGAGAGAATGAAATTTTGGAGAGAATGAAATATTGAGAGGCAAAAATATAAGGAGAGATACTACTAGCGGATAATATGTTTTTGTGGAAAATATTAAACATATTAGTTTTTGGGATAATATGAAATTTTTTTAAAAGATTTAAATAAATATTTGAGTTTTTTTATTAAAGTGACTTGTACCAAATTAAATTTTTTACTTAGCTCTCGGCTCTCATAAGCACTTTCAAGGTGGCATATGTCCAATGAGTCACCCCACTCATGCATTATTTTGTTATATCCAATCATACCATGTCATGTTACAAGAAAATATAATGAAAAGAAACATAATATAATTTATTCTATTAATGAAATACATTTTATACCAAAAGTTAGACAAAATCTAATCAATTTATAATTGAGTTAAAGTTAAAGTTCAAATCAAATCTAATTAATTTATTAGTTAAGTTAATTTTGTCCTTAAACCAATATAAAATCTAATTGACTCTATTAATTAAATTATATTTATCTCAAATTCAGGTGAAATCTAATCAATTTAATTAATTAAGCTAAATGTATCTAAAAAATTCAAACCAGTTCCATTAATATAATTAATTTTGTACGCAAGATTCAAACTTTAATTTAGAGACAAAAAATAGTAGGTGTTTGTTTGGAAACTAATAATATTAATAATATGAATATGATATGTTTGGCAATAAGTTTATTTTGTCTACAATCTAAATAAGGGTAATGCTGACATTTATAAAATTGGGTTGTTTACGTCATTAAATTATAGGTGTCTCTCTAAGACTCTAACGGAATATTAGCGGTTGGAAGAACAGACAACCACAAGAGAAGGGAGGTTAATGTTATTTTTCATAGAAGGGGGGGTCTAATTGATATTTGACTAAACGGGGAGGTCCTATTGTTTGTGGCATTTGCGAAGTTTATACGGAAAAATGGGCTCCAACGAGACACCACCGATTACAGAGGACGGATCTTCCCCAACCTCAATTCCCGATGGCCATCCCCCCGTCGCCGGCGGCGGATCCCTGCTGCAAGCGGCGTCAGACTACGCCGGAGCCCAGACCGAAAACAGAGCTTCCAGGAAGAGGAAAGCCAGTCTGCTACCTCTCGAGGTCGGTACTCGCGTCATGTGCCGATGGAGGGACGGAAAATTTCATCCAGTCAAAGTCATCGAACGGCGCAGAATGCAGTCGGGTGGGCCCCATGATTACGAATACTACGTTCATTACACCGAATGTAAGTTTGTGTTAATCTGTCTTTTAATCCTTAATTGGACAATCAGGATTTTCGGGCTTATTTGGATTTGATATTGAAATTTGCACGTGTCTTTCTGTTTGGATGGTGGAAATTGAGGAAAACAGAACAAAAGAATTTTGGCTTGTGATCAGTGGAGAACTTGTGTTAATTAAGCCAGAGAGTGGATTGGGGTCATTTGAGCTAGGGTTTTGGGAACGTTTGGTGATTACTTTATTTTTTGTGGGATGAAGTTTTATTGGCGAACAAAAGATGTTTGATATTTTTGTTGTGGGATGATAGATTAGCTACTTATTTTGGCTGCTACTACTAATAAGATTGTTGATTATTTCACTTATGAAGCTATTAGAATTGGGATCTATTTTTTTACTTCTATATACTGACTAGTTGAGGAATGCAGTTTGAATGTAAGATCATATGCAGTTGGAGGAAGAGCTAATAAAAAGTTGTTTATAGAAAGTTGATGTATGAGATTCTTTGCATGAATAAAGATTGTGGGTTTGATGGGGGTGTTATTGGAAGTTAGTTGGTAAGTTGATTTGTTTCACACATTCTGATATTACATATGCTATTGGTGTGATTAGTCGGTTCATGCATGTTCCTCATAAACCTCATTGGGAGGCTGTGTGTCGTATATTTCGGAATCTGAAGGGCTGTGGTGAAAAGATTATTTTATTGCCCATCATCATCCATAATTGGTGTTGATTTTTTTGGTGCAGATTGGGTAGGTAGTCATATAGATGATCTACTTTTGCAAGTTGGATGTTTATTGATGATAATTTTATTATTTGGCATAGTAAAAAACAGAATGTGATAGCATGTTCTAATGTTGGGGTTGAATATTGAGCCATGACTCATACTGCATGTGATATTTATGAGTCCGCTCTTTACTTTGTGATATGGAAATTCATGCGTCTTCCCCCATGAAGATGCATTGTGACAACCAAACAATTATTTTCATTACAAGTAATCTGGTATTTTATGAACCTATCAAATACATCGAGGTAGATTGTCATTTCATTAGAGAGATTATCACCTCATATATCAAGTCTGATAATTAACTGGGTGACATTCTTACTAAAGCATTAGCTTGGTCTACCTTTAGTAATTTATTTTCAATGCTTGACATTTTTTGTTTTTATACTCCAGTTGGAGGGAGAGTGTTAAAATTCTTATTTTTTGTATTAGTCTTGTTTAATGAGTATAGGGTAATATTATAATTACCCAAATTATTTCTCTACTATAACTAAGAAGTGTTGGGTAACACAGCCGTACACACATTATTTCTATCAATCTATCTTCTCCTTTCTTTGTTAAACCCTTATCTCAAGTTTACAATTTAACTAGATGATCCACACTCTCGCCATCTTCTTTACACATAACACACCATTGAGGTGAAAGACATGTCTTAGGTCGCTTTCTTTGAAGCACATCATTATTATTCTTACCATAGGTGATTAGTCATGCACAAACTTGCACCTTTAAAGGAATATTGGAATAACAAATCTTGAAAGATGGATGAAATAATGGTAGAAAAGAATCATCAATTAATGATTCAAAGTAAGATTTACAAGAGAAGACATTCAAGGGATCACTAATCTAAATTTTTTTATCCAAAGAATTCTGAGAAAAAGAGACATTATTGAGCATAGTAAGAAGTAAAAACAACTCCGAATGTTTCCTATCATTAAGATTTTTACGAAAACTAAAATTGAAAGACATCGAAAAATAGTGACATGACAAAAGATGCAATATATTTATTGTGACAACAAGAGATACGATAAATGCGAGGAAAAAGATTAGCATAGGAAGTCTCTCCCTCCAAATATCCTCCTAAGAATGGACCTAGACCTATTTCCCACCATTAAACTTACACTCTGAGAAAAACTAGGTAACCTCTAAGAAATGAACTTTCATGGACTTCGGAAGGTCCCCTCTTCAACCCCTTTAGCATCCCACCCATTAGCCTATAACCCATATTTTTTCCTAATAATCGTATGCCACAATATACCTTGTTTCAATGGAAATCTCCAAAGCCATTTTCTAACAAAGTCTCATTTCTTTTCACCAAGTTCCCAACGACAACTCACCCTTAATTTTCGGCCTAATGACCACATTCTAAGACACCAAATGATCATTTTTGCCTTCGCTACACCCTTCCCATAAAAAGTCCCTCCTCATCTCTTCAATCTTTCTACTACCCACCAAATAAGGTATCTTAAAGAGAGACAAGTAATAAATAAGAATGCTTTGTAACACAGACTGTACTAATATTAGCCTCTCCCTCTAGAAATAAAGGTTTTCTTCTATCCATCTAACCTTCTCCTTATCTTCTCAACAACAGGATCCCAAAAGGTGATAGACATCAGGTTACCACCCAAAGGGAGACTTAAGTACTTTAAAGGCCAACTATCCATTAAGCATTCTAACTCTCAGGCCAACCTCTCAATTTTCTTCTGATTAGAATTAATTCCTACATTTATACTTTTTTCCATATTAATCTTCAAACCATAGACCAACCCAAACACCTCCACAATTTTTTCTAAGTTTTTAAATTTTTTCTCTGTCCTGTGGAGAAGAAAATCGTATCATCAGCAAACTGCAAATGAGACTCTGAAATGCTCTCCCTTCCTATGGCAAAACCCTCAACAGAACAGATTAGATCTCCATGTCCTCTCCATTAAAATACTCAACCCATTAAAACTATTAAATTTGTTGTTTTTATGATATATTTGTATGCCGTGTACATACAAGTGATAATAGTTGAAATAGATGTGTAGTGTTGATTAATTTCTTTTGATTTTCTTTCTTTGGCCTTGAGTGTTTACCTTTGCCATGATTTTGCTTGTTATTTTGACAGTCAATAGGAGGCTTGATGAATGGGTTAAACTTGAACAAATTGATCTTGATTCAGTAGAGGCTGTTGTAGATGAGAAGGTGGAGGACAAGGTAATTTATGTGCTTGTTTACTTATTTTTATCTTTTCACCTTCTGAATTCTCTAATGTTAAGGAAAGGAAAATTTTCATGAATTCTACTTCTCCGCCATGGTGTCCATTCTCCTGAGGTGTTAGGGTTTCTTTTTGGAAAGTTTTTATCTCCTATTGTAGGATGTTCTTGTCATAATTCTGCTGGTTTAGTTTCCCTTTAAAGTTTGCCTTTTTCTAACTTATACCTTGCTCTTGCCTCCATTCACGTAATAAACAAAATTCGATGCATATGCTGATTGGAGTGGTTTTCTGATGAGGATTCAGGTGACAAGCTTGAAAATGACACGCCACCAGAAACGTAAGATTGACGAGACACATGTAGAGGTATGCAATACTGAGTTTATCCAGGCACAGTATCATCTTTTGTCATCATCATCATAATGTTGTCATCAGTGTTGTTGCTAATCTGATTACCACCACCAATACCACCAAGGTTACCATCATTACTGATTTTTTGTTAGGTATAGGAATGTACTCTATTTATACAACGTACTTTTGCTGATTCGTCTTCTTGTTTTTAGTAGTTAATTGAGGAGTAATATTATGTGATTCAGGTTATAGTTTTAAGGCTTGCCCAAGAGGAAGGGAATAGAAAACATCTACAAAATGATGGAGACCACAACTTAAAATTTTATTATGTCTGTAAACTACTTCAATCAGGTTGCTATGCCATATGCAAATGAAAACATTTAACACTACTGGCCTCTCGTCCCGCCTGGTGACTTGCATCTGCTGCAAATTTGAATTCTGACACCATTCTGTTACCGTTGAACTTCTACAAATGAATGATCTGCTGATATTATTTTATTTTGTCATCGTTAAAACTGTGTTCCAAAATTTCTTAGTGGTTAATTCAATTTTTGGTACCAAGTAGTAGCTAATTCATTGAAAAATAAAAAAGTAGCTGTTTTGGCAATATAGGCTTTCAGTATTTTAGTTCTTGGGTTGTGTATGAAAGTTAGGACCTTAAACTTTTCAAAGCTAGGGCCAAACGTCAAGGTCCTGCTATGCATGCATTTGCTTTAAAGTATGGATTTTGAACTTCCCACCCTACTATATCATGTATCCAGAGGGGTAAGAAATGTACCAAAGCAGTCAATTCCCTTACATGAACAGTAAAAACTGTTCCATCTCATTTAGTTTCCAGCTTTTGAAAGCCAACGGATGATCTTCTGGCACTAAGATACCCTCCTTAGTTCGATGGAGGCATCCGTTTCTACCTTAAATTCAGGCAATTTTAGCATTACTAGACAACCAGAAACTAGATTTTTCCTTTTGTTTAATCTTTTTGTGGCAAAAGATAAACATGATACCTTATTGTCACACTTCTTATCCTGGACTGGGACCAACCAACCTGGGCAATTTGAAAAGTTCTACACTCATCAAGTAGTCTAGAGCTAGAATCGTTTGGGTGGTGACTCCTTGGAAAATTAAATTAACTCTTAAACCCACATTTACCAAGTATTCTAGAGCTAGAATCATTTGGGTGGTGACTCCTTGGAAAACTAGATTAACCTTTGAGATAAATGTTCTCACCTATTACTACATTCTCAGCTTTGCATATAAAAGTCTAACAGAACGAATGACTATTTGAATTTCATAAACACGTGTTCGCCACTTAGCATTTAATAATAGATATATTGAGGGCGCCTATGGTCTGTTTGGCGTCAGGGATGCAAACCTGAAAGGAAAGGGAAGATAGGATGGATTGTAAAGGCTTTGCTAGGTGTTAGTGAGTCATATAAGCAAGGGGTAATAGGGTTACTACAAGGTATACCTTAAAATATGTATACAGCCTTGTGAGGAATTCAGATTTGTTCTTCTGCCATATACTCTGTATCTTTCTGTCTTCCTTACACTCTCTCTTTTTGTCTTTCTCTAAAGCCATAGAATTAACTGAAGGGAAAGGTAGTTGCCCTTTTTTTTTTATTGGTTGAGCAGGGTGGAAAAGGTGGTTGCTTTTTTTTGTTTTACCGTAAAATCTCGGTATATGGGAGAAGTAACAATGTTTGACAGAGTTTATAAAGAGATTTTTCCTTTTCTCTACTCCCTTGATTACGTGGATTCAGAGAAAAAGTGTTTCCCTCTTCTCTTCACGTCTCTTAGTCTTCTCCCTTCCTTCGTACCTAATGGTGGGAATTCTTTCATCTCTTCATTTTACTCCCTCATTTTCCTTCCTCCCATTCTTACTTCCGTGAGACTGGTTATTGGTGATTTCTTTCCTAGAGCAGCTTGTCTGTTCACTCTCAGTGGAACATTATTAATTCCTCATTTTGTTGGCACCTCTTTATTGGAAATATGCTTGTAAAGAAATGATGGTTTTTGCATCTTTTTGCCCTGGCTTAAAGTATGTATCCATCCAATGATTACCTTGCATTGGAGTACCTTTCCACATTTGAAATTACTATGTGGCCCTCAGGATATATGCTATGTATAGTTGTTTGGGTGTAGGTATATCACCGGCAAGGATCAAAATATCGTTTCAAAACGGTCGAAACATTCGAAATGTTTTCGTTTCCAAAGAGATCAAAGCGAATTAATGATGGAATTGACATTCTAAGGGTCTGTTTGGTTTGATTCTTCAAATCTGTTTTTTTGTACTAAAAACTCTAAAAACAATGAAACAATGTCTGGTTTGAATTTTTGTTTTCCAATTTTTGGAAAAAAGTGGAAATTGGAGCATAAAAACAGAAAACAAGTCCAGCTTGTTTTCAAGTTATTTTTGTCAAAATTTTGAAAACACGGAGGACATACTACTGTTCATTAAATCCTTCATATAAAGACATCTTTTTTTCTCCGGCTCGATGGTTGCCTCCTCCTCCTACTCTCTCGACTGCAATAAACAAGTCTGACAAAGTGAAAGAACTCTGGCGAATCGATTCAAACCAAACAAACCAGCAATTCCGACGATTGTGTATCGAAGCGAAGGAACTCTGGCAAATCGAAGAAGCAACTCTAATGACTGTGTATCGAAGGAAAGGAACTCTAGCGAATCGAAGCAACTGGGTTATTTTAGATTTGCTTCAGATCTGGGTTGCTCGATCTGGGTTGCTTCAGATCTGCTTTTCTCTGGTGAATGACTGTATGTGTTGTGTGGGTGTATTTGTTGTGTGTGTTAAGTGGGTGGAGATTGAAAGGAGAAAATGGAGAGAAAGAGAGACGGGAAAGATAGAGAAGGGAGATGAAAATTGGGGTTTGTGGACAATTGTCCAAACAGGTTTTCAATTTTTTGTTTTTTAAAACTATTTTTAAAAATATATAACCAAACATGTTTTGCAATATAAAAATATCAAAACACACTTTTTTAAAACTCATTTCAAAAATTATTTTTCGATATTATTTTTTGAGACGCAAACCAAACAAACTCTAATATTTTGAGGTGTTCTATAATGTTTCAAAATATTTTGTTATATTTCAATGCATTTGCACAATTATTTTAGAATGTTTCAAGGTATTTTAAGATATTTTGGTATATTTTGACAAATATTTTGAAAAAATAATTTTTAAATTTTTTATTTTTTTTCATTCTTTTTTCGAAACGGGTTGAAACATTTTCGAAATACGTTGAAACTTTTCCGTTTCCTAGGTGACTGAAGCAATGCACCGAAACAAAATTTTGATCCTTGATCACAGGACATAACTGGACTCAGTGGACAAATTGAAGTGCATGTGTATTGTAAGTTTTCTCCCTGTTGTTGGTGATATTTCATTGTTCATGTGACAAATGAGAGAAGAAAATACTTGACAAACCATGTTCCTCTTGCTTTGTTCAATGTCCCTATTGCCTTTGTTGGACAAATTTGTTTGGTATCAATTTTTGTTGTACCTTTCAAGCAAACATACCAGATCCTCTTTTGTCTTTTCTTGTGCTTGAGTTGGGTGTTTCACAATTCTCGAAGTGTCAAGGTGACGTAAAGCTGATCAGATCTAGCAAAGAATTAGGATCAATACCAAGGATATTTTACCCATTTGAGAGGCTAAAATCATTTAAGTGAGGTTTTGATGGAGTTACCACCTTAAATTATAACCTTCAGATTGGTTGTGATTGTACTTTGGTTTTTGGTCCTCAATATGCTTACTCTTTCACTCTCTCCCCCTTGCACATGCACACACGTGCACTCCTAAATTGATATCTGGTTCATCTACATAAGTAGCAACAACTTGAATAGAAATTTTTATGTTAGTCATTACATTAGAGGTTCAACACACATGCTTTTGCCTTTTGTCTCTTACGCCCTATGTTTGCATGTGTGTTGTGTTTTGACTCAAAATTATCTAAACGTGTTCCTTTGATTATAGGGCCATGAGGAGCTTGATGCTGCCAGCTTGCGTGAACATGAAGAATTCACTAAAGTTAAAAATATAGCTACTATAGAACTTGGAAGATACGAGATTGAGACATGGTACTTCTCCCCCTTTCCACCAGAGTACAATGACTGTTTGAAGCTGTACTTTTGTGAGTTTTGCCTCAATTTCATGAAGCGCAAGGAACAGCTTCAGAGGCATATGGTGAGCTTTGCCTCAATTTCTTGTAGTTCTTGTTGCTTTGTGAAATTTAGATTGTGGCATAGCATGAGTCAAATGCTTGTTTAATGTCTAGAGTACCTGTCTCCGTTTTCCATTTTTTAGTGCTTCCCTCTGACTGTCACATGCCTTATCTGAGGCTTATACTGCAAATTGCAACTCATTTATTGATCTATATATCTTATCAGCCCCTGTATTAAGCTTGTTAACCAACCTGGGAAAATGTGATACTGATGTTGCCAACCGGCCCAAATTGAACAGGGTTTTGTCTGGTAATTTTACTGAAACAGGTTTGTCCTTTTATAATTAAGACGAGGCTGGGGTTTTGACATTATGCATTGCCAACCTGGAACTGTAACGTTCATGGTATTCATTATTTTTGAAAATATAGTACAGTTACTTTCACATCTTGTTGCAACTTACCGGGTTTGAAATTGATTTTATCATTCTTGTGTGTTGCAAATTCCCACCCCATAAGATGAGTGATAGTTCTTTCCATAACCGATTCATTTGCTCTACTAACTTGGAGCAGAGGCTTCAGATATATGGTTTTCTGATGGGTATCATGAAGAGTATTCCTACATGCCACTGGCAGTGGAAAGAATGTGAAGTTCATGACTGCTATATACTATGAAGCACGTTGAGACAGATTTTCAATGATGATTTCACGAAGTTCTTTTTCTTTCTGATGGAAGTACAGTTTCCTACCATTTGTAGGTCATGGTTGGTTGAACTATTTGCACATTGAAAACTTAATAGAGTCCAACCATGACGAATTTCAGCCCCTGGGCTGAATGGACTGTAAATTGGATGCTGTTTGTTTACACACGCATTTTACTTCGTAATAGGTTCGAAGTTTGTATGATCTGGTGGGTCAAGAATAAATTTCGTTAGAATTTTGCAACAATAGAGTTATAGAAGGGTAAGGACCTTTGATTGGCTTGATGCAGTGCCTGCCTTTTGGCCTGTGATTGAAGTTGTTGATCATGTACCCGTATATGGTTCAAAAATAAATTTTGTGAGAATCTTTCAACGATAGAGTTATAGAAGGGTACAGACCTTTCATTAGATTGATGCAGTGCCGCTGGCTTGCGATTGAAATTGTTGATCATGTGCCTGTATAGAGGATTGCATTTGTACTCACTTTTATCCTCTGAATCTTTACGGTAAGATGCACTTAATGTTCCCAAAGAATTAGACACTAATACTAAAAGAATATTACATATAGAACTTGTGAGAAATGAAATGCGTAAAATCTAGGTTGATAAGACATATCAAGTTTGAATGCTTGTTATGGGAGCAATTGGTTGCAGCACTTCCTATTGATTTGTCAAGGGATTTACGTTTAACGATGGGAATTGGGTTTATATTTAAGATATGATATCAGAATGGGAATTGGGTTTAACAATAGGAATAAAGTTGCATACATCTGATTTATTGTAGGTTTTTGGTTATAAAAAGCTTGAGAATTCTCTGTGTTTGACACCAATTTTGAGAGAAGCCATTTCAATGGAAATTTGTATGGCTTTCTGTTTCAAATTTTTTGATTAACACTGACTGTTGGGGTGCTTTAACACCTATATGTGGGATTTAAAGTGGTATCATTGGTAGCAAGGGAGAGATTGTTCATTTGCTGAGACACATAGCATTATTTCTTCATAAGTTGATTATCCTCGCTTAGAAAGCTATCACCGCTTTCGGATATGTGCACAGTAAAGCGCCACTAGTGCGAGTCGAGTCTATATGCAACGGGACCATCTCCATGAGGGAAGAACGATTTATCAACTTGTGGATGTTATGCCCTCTTATGACTTTGGGTGGCTTGGATCCTGTTAACCCTAACTTGATGCAGCTTAATCCAATTACTGGGATTTGTTTGACAGATCTTATTTTGTCTTGTCTAGCTGTCTGATTTTGGCCACGTATACTATTTTGTGCCTTCATGGTGACTCACAGCAATGATAATATTCTAATCGGCCATTCTAGACTTGTCAGTGCCATTCTAGACTTGTCAGTGCCATTCTACCTTCACAGCAACGATTTATTTAACTCAAGTCATTGCATCTAATCCAATTTTTTTTCAAGTACTTGCTGAATTTCAAGGCTGTGAACTGGGTCAGAATTAGGTATTTAGCTAGAGCTAGATGATACTGAGGGTTTCATGCTCTAACCCCTAGCAGTTGGGTTATGACTTATAATACAACATTACGAAGTTAAGTTGCTCTGTATGAGTGTGTGACTAGTCCATCAGGGATGGACTAACCTGCAAGAGTAATATATAATGTCTTGCATCTTGATCTTCCTATTTTATTTATTTATTTATTTTGGTGTGTGTGTTTGTTGGTTGTTTTTTTTTTATTTTAGGGGGGGGGAGGGAGGGGGGGATGTGCGGTGGGTTCAAGCATCATGTTCAACTTATTTATAAGGTGGTTGGGGATACTTGGGGAACCTTCCTGCATACCCTGTTGAGCTCAGCCTGAGGGATGAACACCATATGGTTGTTTGAGCTCATTTGCATGCCTGCATTCTTGTCCACCTGTACATACATGCATGCATGTACATCAGAATTGCCTGCTTGTTTAAGGCCTTTTCATATTGTTTGAGGGTAAATGTACAGTTTTGAGACAGTCTGAAGCAAAATAAAGCCAGCATGACATTGGATCTCTTGATGGCTAAAGGATATGTAGTGAGAGTGAAATAGTTTTATTTATTTATTTTTTGATAACTGCTTTTCTCCCATGTAATGTCTTTGGTAGTAACTATGTTTCTTTATGTGTCATGCCGAAGAACATTAATTTTGTTGAATTAATGGCTGAAGTTCTTCTTTGTCA